AGAGAAACAGTATGTCTCTGAAGAGGGCAACTAGGTCGCAGGGGATGGTGGTGAAGGGAGATCTTTCACTGAATATTTGAGCCATGTGAATTATGGTCTATACAAAAATGAAATAAAAATCACAACACAAAAAATTATATCAAATCATGGGGGTTATTTGATCTTTTCATTTTTCTTTTACAATTTTCTCCAATAGGTGGCGCTTCTGAAACACCATACTTGTTTTTATTTTTATTTTATTTGAGAAAACCCCAAATGTGCTCTGATGGCCTTTCTTCTCCATTTGTCACCTCTGGGAACCTTGAGTCTAGATTTAGGGCTGAAAGTCTCTCTGCTAGGAGCTTTCCAAAATGCATTGCTTTGATTCTGGGAACTGAATAGAAGGAGAACACCTGGATTAAAAAAAGAAAAATTGCAATTGGTTCAAAAAAACCAAATAATGCTTTCAACCCTGTCTTCCTGATAGAAACCTCAGATAGATTAATTGAATTGTAACTTCTGACAGATTGACTTGTTGATTGGAAGGTTAATATAGGTTAGTGGTTCTTAACCAGGGGTGATTTTGCCCTGAAGGTGATGTTTGGACACATTTGGTAACGTCTGGACACATTTTTGATTGTCACACTGGACAATCTACCAGTATCTGGTGGAGACAGGCCAGGGATGCTTCCATAACTCCTACAATGCACAGGTTAGCCCCTCATCACAAATAATTATTAGCCCAAAATGTTAATGGTATAGATAATGAGAAATTTTAATGTAGGTTAAGATTAATATTCAGCATCTTTATGGCTTGAGGCCCTGCTCTGACAGGATTTACAGATACTTAAAATTCATATTTTCCTAGGCCAAGACAATCAGGATGGCCCCAGAATTTTTAGAAAAGAGTACCCCAAACCACCTCCCAATCCCTGATCCCCAGAGTCTGATCCTTATAGCCACTTAGGGAAGGGAGCTAGACTTAGAAGCAATTGGGAGGGCAGTTGATGCAAGGGTCCTTTATTAGAACTGGCATTGAAGAACTCACCTACTCTGAGTCCTGAGTTCAATTCCTCCTCAACTGGTTTCCTTGAAGGTGACTGTACTGGTCATCTTCTCGATCCTTGAGGGGCTGGAAAGGACAGCACAGTCATAAGGTCATTTTTTCCATCCTCTATTAATTAATTTGATGCATGTTTATTGAATGCTTTTTATATGTGAGAGTTTGGAGTGGGTAGTACTTCATGGTCCTGAGAATGGAAAGAGGAAAAGGAGATGGAGGCTCTGTCTTTTTTCTTTTCTTTTCTTTTTCTTTTTCTGTTTTTTTTTGAGATGGAGTCTTGCTCTGTTGCCCATGCTGGAGTGCAGTGGTGCAACCACAGCTCACTGCAACCTCGACCTCCTGGGTTCAAGTGGTCCTCCTGCTTCAGCCTCCTGAGTAGCTGGGACTACAAGTGTGCACCACCATGCCCAG